CTCTGCCATAAAACTTTAACCTGGCATTTAACCCAATACATCTGTATGTGTGATTCTCCTGATTCTTTGTGAGTTTTAACCATCTTTTCTCCAGTAACAGTGAACTATGAGTGAAAATACCCCATATCTTTAGGAAAAACTTGGAATTTATCCCTGATAGAGAGGGGTGAGAGAGAGACAGCACAGAGAAATCCAGGTGCCTTGGACACTCCGAGGGATGGGAAAACCATGGATCCTCTGCCATAAAAATTTAAACTGGCATTTAACCCAATACATCTGCATGAGTGAATATGACTCTCCTGATTCTTTGGGAGTTTTAACCACCCCTTCTCCAGTAACAGTGAACAATGAGTGAAAACTTCCCATCTTTAGGAAAAACTTGGAATTTATCCAAACCAGGAATTTATCCCTGACAGAAAGGAACGAGACAGAGCCAGCACAGAGAACTCCAGAGGATGGGCAGCTCCCTCTGCCTTTGCCAGGCTGGGTCTGTGTGGAAGGACATCACCAGGCCCACGTACCATGGCAGAGTTTTTGTTGTCCAGCGTTCCTCGGCCGTAGATGAATCCCTGGTGCTCTGCAGCTGAGAAAGGAGGGAAATCCCAGCCCTCAGGGGGAGCAGGCACCACATCCATGTGTGCCAGCAGCATGTAGGGCAGCAGGCCAGGGGCTGAGCCCTGCACTGTAAACAGGTGGCTGTATTGGCCAACAGTTTCATGCTGGATGAACTTTGAAGAAAATACAGCTGGGAAGACTGTTAAAAAAAAAAATTAAAGACATATGTGAAAGAAAAATTAACAATAATTTTAGCATTATTGCATAGTTGTCAGGTAGGGAGCAGCAGGGGGGGTGGAAATAAGGAACTGTAAATCATCAGGAACTGTAAATAAGACTGGACACAGAAGTTCTCACACTTTTACCAATCCATCTCATTTGGGATTTAAAAGTCCCCTAAACAAAACCAAAATTCTTGTTCAGCAGTGCTGCAGCTCTTTTGCAGGGCACAATGAAGGAACTGCCAAAAATTAGGTTGAAGCAGCAGCAGTCATCCTCTTTTAATTTTTTTATGGCATTTAAGCATCTTAAGGATCAAAAGCATCATTACAAAAAGTCTTTTGAACCTCTTGAGGCCATTGATATCACTGCTACAGAGGGGACACGTGTGACATTTTTGACAGGAAATTTCTTCATTCATGTCTGACAGGACATTTCTTCAGGAAAAATATAAAAATCTCTTATATTCAGGAATGATACATGCTCCCTTCAATTTGTTTATGAAAACAGCAGAAATCGCCAAGACTGAAAGCTCAGTACCTTTCCGAATGTAAGCCCCAAATTCTGCCATGGCAGTTGTGTTCAAATCCTCTGGAGACCAGGACACAGTTGGGATTCTAATGGCCCCTTCAAAGAAACACAGAACAGAAATCACTCAGCACCAAAACCAAACAAAGCACTTCAAAAGTGGAAGCACATTTATGTTCCTGAGAGGCTTTCCAGGCTTTTAACATCATTTCACAGCACAGCACGAGCTGCCATGATCAAAAAGAGAACTGATGAGCTTCAGCTGCAGCCACCAGCATTTCCTAACAGCTCAGCCAAGGCATCTCCCCAGACAACCTGACTCCACTTTTCATGCTGAAGTGCTGAATGATATCCTTAGAAATGCTCCTGGCCAGGAGCAGCTGCAATTTGCTTGGGTGAGCTGATTGCCCAGAGCCACAGGCTCCTCTGGCAGCTGGGTTGGCAGCCCAAGGCTCTTTCTCAAGAGTTAAGCAGCTTGTGATGGTTATTACACCTCCATAGTGCTTTATAAATTAACCTTTATAAACACACAGGGCTTTTGTTGGCCCTTCTGGTCTGCACTGTCATTTAAACAGGCTCTCCAACATCCAGTCCCTGTCCTGCACAACATGGAGTAACTCAGCCCCAGCTGCCTTCCCAAACAGCAGCTGCCAGCAGAGGTTATGGATTCTTCTGAGGTCGTGTGATTCATGAATTAGCACAAAAATCTATTGTGAGCCTTCATTTTCCCATTAGAGAAGAATGCAAACACAATTTGCTAGGCAATAAATCCTACAAACCAGCCAGGTATGAGGTTTACACACAGGGTTTTATCACTTGGTGCCAGATTGTGGTTTCCTGCACAGTGCCAGCCCTGCTGAGAGCTAAACCCCTCAAATGTTCTACGTCAGACAGCACAAAGAGCCCAGCACTGGGCACAGCAGTGGTGAGCAAGAACAAGAAAGGGAGAAAATCCCGACGGTGACTTATCCAGTGGACAAAGGGATGTCTGGAAACGCCTTCATGGGTGTCTGGCAAAATTCTGTGTGTACAAGCAGGAAACAGTGGAGAAAATCAACACAGGGCAAGAGTTGGCTCAGGAGAAGCACAGGATAGCTGAGGCTGGAAAATCCCTCCAGGATCATCGAGTCCAACCTGTGCCCGATCCCCACCCTGAGCACTCAGTGCCACCTCCAGGGATGGGCGCTCCAAACCCCCCTGGGCAGCCCCTTCCAGCCCTTTCCATGAGGAAATTCCTGCTGCTGTCCAACCTGAGCCTCCCCAGCCCAGCCTGAGGCCGTTCCCTCTCCTCCTGTCCCTGTTCCCTGGGATGAGATCCCAAATCCCCCCCGGNATTCCCATTCCCATTCCTTGGAAAAGTCCCTGCAGGGGTTTTGCTCAGTAATGCTGTGACAGGAGCCAGGGTAGGGACATGAAATCCAGAGCAGCCGGGTCAGGGATAAACTGCACAGGAGCCCCCAGAGCCAGAATTATCCAAAATTCACTGGGCCCTTACACACCCAGACTGGCTCTCTCTGCAGCCACCAAGTCCAGGCAGTTTAAGGAGCTGCAGGTTTTGTACAAGAAGTGCCAAGATGACAGAAACAGAACAAGAAAATTAATCTGAAGGGTGAAAAATCAAAAAATCAAATCTATCATTTGCTGTGACAATATAGATATATATAAATACATTTGCTCTATGTATATATAAATACAGTTGCTCTATTATTCCATCTCTCTTTTTCAATTCAAATTACTTAATTTTTCACATATCACCTCGATATTGTCAGCACCCATTTTTTGCCACGTTCACTGAAATTGGTGATTTTTTTTTTTGGCCATTTGTGGAGTTATGAATGAATGAAGCACCAATCTAAATTTTTAAGTTTCAAGGCTTTGAAATTGATGATTAAACATCCTGAAACTTTCTAGGAGTGTGTCCTGTGTGACACTAAACATGTGTACAAATTTAAATAAAGGGCTGCCATGGAAGTCATTATCAAAGTCACAAAGAGAAATTTTCCTTTTTAATTTTACCATTTTTCCCCATGAGAAATCTTTTCTGAGTCCATTCCTCCCAAATGTGTTCAGTACAACAGCTCTTTGTTCTGCCATAGGCTGGATAAAAGATGCAGGGCTGTTTGTCTATTTTATTAAATAAAAATGTTTCATTTGAAACTCAGGCTTTTCCAAAGGGGCAGTTTTGGCTTGGAGTGCCTCTGTGAAAAAGGACAAGATTTCACAGTATTTGACAGAGAATTATGGAATTATCTGGGTTGGAAGGGATTTTATAGCTCATCCAGTGCCACAGGAAGGGAAACTTCCACTATCCCAGGCTGCTCCAACCTGGCCTGGACACTCCCAGGGATGGGGGCAACCACAGATTCCCTGCCAGCCATAAAAAATTAAACTGGCATTTAACCCAATACATCTGTATGTGTGATTCTCCTGATTCTTTGTGAGTTTTAACCATCTTTTCTCCAGTAACAGTGAACAATGAGTGAAAACACTCCATCTTTAGGAAAAAGATGGATAAATTCTAAACTAGGAATTTATCCCTGGCAGAAAGGAGTGAGAGAGAGACACCATAATGAATTCCAAGTGCCTTGGACACTCCCAGGGATGGGAAAACCATGGATCCTCTGCCATAAAACTTTAAACTGGCATTTAACCCAATACATCTGGATGTGTCAATATGATTCTCCTGATTCTTTGTGAGTTTTAACCATCTCTTCTTCAGTAACAGTGAGCAATGAATGAAAACACTCCATCTTTAGGAAAAACTTGGAATTTATCCCTGATAGAGAAGGGTGAGAGAGAGAGACATCACAGTGAATTCCCTGTGCCTTGGACACTCCCAGGGATGGGGCAACCATGGATCCTCTGCCATAAAACTTTAACCTGGCATTTAACCCAATACATCTGTATGTGTGATTCTCCTGATTCTTTGTGAGTTTTAACCATCTTTTCTCCAGT